ATGATATTCTCATGTATTTAGTTTTTCATCTAAAAGTCTAATAGTTTATATTATTATTTTTTATATCGAGCAATAAAAGAAAGAGTCTCATGGGGAAAGGGAAGCGTTTATTACAGACCACACTGATCGGGAGGAAAGTCATGCGATTTGTAGCGTCTTTCCTGTCTGCGACCTCTCTTCCCTCTGCGCATGTTTTGCTGTGAAGAGAGGAGGAAGGGTGTTAGACAGAAATGGTGAGCAGCCACATTCCTGTGAGGGGTGCCCAGGACCCAGGACTCCCAGGACCGCCCAGGAGCAGATCCGAGAGACGGGAGCCACTGTGCAAAGCATCCAGCTCCTTGACCGACCACCAGCAAGGAGCAAGAGACACTGTGGGAAGAAGAGGTAATGGAGTCGGGGCACAGGGACTTCCCTCCAGAAAGGAAGCTCTTCTCCTAAAGAGAGACACCTGGAGCCAGGTGCCGGCCCGTGTCTCAAGGAGGTGCTTGTGGCCTGAGTCTGGGAAGGAAGATCCCTGGTCCAACCATGAAGGAGCGGCTGGCTGTGGCTGTGGGCATCTGCAGACCCGGGGCTGGAGAAGGGAAGGCTGCTCCATCCTCTCACCCATTCAGGAAACGCCCAAGCACGAAGCGTTTATTGGGCATGACTAGGATCGAAAAGGCACAGCTGCACCGAAAAACCATCATGAGCTAGTGGAGGAGAGGACCCAGTCAGAGCACAGGGTGGTGGATGTGATTCCAGAGAGGCCCACGAGCAGGTCATCCCAAGGACAGGGAAAGACGAGAAAGCTGCCCTTAGGGCGAGCTGGGGCGGGAGTACTGAGTGCCAGCAGCTGGGCCAGCAGCTGGACGAGACTCTTCATGCAAACCGGAGGCAGAGCCGGGACCCAGACAGGGACCACACTGCTTCAGGGAGGTGCTCAGGTACCACAGCGTCCAGGAGCTGGGACTTCATCCTGCAGGTGAGCAGGGCCCTCGAGCTGGCGAGGACTTGTGTCAGAACTGGTGACAGAGCCTTTGAGGGAACAAGATGACTCTGTGGGGAGACACCAAGCCCAGCAGGCTGGAGAAGTCGAGCTGGAGCTGAGCAGACCACGCAGAGACAGGGCAGAGCCAGGAACATGTCAGAGGAAGGACCAGCAGAACTGGGTCACGGGAGGAAGGGGAGGGGGTCTAGATGGATCTGCTTCAGGCCGGGTGCCTGGAGGATGAGTGGACACAGGAGGAGGAGTATGTTCCCAAGGGAAAACCCCGTTCTGAGCTTTATATGGAATATTCTGATGGGGGTGTCTAGCAAGCAGTGGTTCCCTCAAACCTGGGATTCCAGTGGAGCAACCAGGCCACCAGGTAGGGGGCGTCACCTGGGGGTGCCTGGGACAGATATGAAGGCAGTGAGCAGAGGGAGAGCCAAGGTCCAAACCTTGGTGATTGTCACCACTGGGGGACAGTAGGAAGGTGAGGGACCTGAGAAGAGCAGGAAGAAGGCTTGGCCAGAGAGGAGAGCTAGTGGAGGGGACAAAATCCCAGAGGCCAGAGGATGTCAGGAAAGGAGTGGTCACCAGCATCCCACGGGGCCAGGAGGCTCAGCAGAGGAAGGGGACGCAGGCTGGGGAGGCGCCCAGGAGGGGGTCACCATGCGGGGAGGGGTTGGCGTGCAGCAGAGGAGTGACGAGGGCCTGGCACACAGATGGGGACAGCTTTTCTTAAAGACAGGATGAGAAGGGAACACAGAGACTGAGGGGACGCTAGGGACAAGCTCATGCAGGGGGGACATCGTCCAGGTGGTGCCCACAGTTCCCGGACTGTCCTTGGAGTGCGCCTACTCACTGGCCTTCACTGTGTCTCCCGAAGCTGCTCATCTGCTCTCCCTTGGTTCTTGGACACAGTGTGGTCCCACCCACCTGTTCCCAGCTGAGGTCACCCAGGGCAGCAGTGGGCTCTTGTTCCAGTCCTCATGCTATAAACAGAGCCCTTTTCCTGGTCTATTTAGTGCTGGTTTATGCATGTCTGTGGCCTTGTGGATGCTGTGACTGTTTAAAATGGCCCAAGTGTAGTTGTGCCTAGTGCTGCCAGGCAGGGGGGTTGCCTTATGGAGAAACGCATGTGTTGATAACCTCCTTTCAGCTCATGAGTTCAATGTTAATGAGTGAAGAAAATATGCGACCTGAGGCACCTAAGCAGAAGCACACATACAAGGTCACATACTGATCTGTTGAGGAACAGATGACCAGAGGCTCAACAGCACCTAAACCCATATTGCCCGTAGGAGCCATAACTCAGCTTGTTGGCTAATTCAGTGTTCGCAACAGTTGTAGACAGTAACTCCAGTGGATGGTGAGAATCGCCTGCACCTGGTGAAGGGGTTGGCGGGAGTGTGCAGCCAAGGACTGTCAGAGCAGAGCACAGGAGGAGTGGCCCGTGGCCAGCTTCCGCCTCTGGAGCCTGGGCTGGATCTTCCCCATCTTCTTGAGGCACCTGGCTCCCTTTGGTGGGTGGCTCCCAGGTGAGATCATGGGAGGACGTGCTCACTAATGAGTCTGATCCCTGAATATTGAAATCACCCATCAAGCCACAGGTGGCCCAGCCTTTAGGGGCCAGCCCCCCTACGTGGCTGATGGTGGGCAGGCAGGTTGCCAACTCTGCCCGTCACAGCTCTGCCTTCTAGTTGGCAAAGACACATCTGGTTCCACCCAACACAAAATAGATGTACCTTAAACAAGCAGTCCTTGACGTTCTGCTCTTGTATGCCATTCTGAACATGGAGGCAGATAATTACGGGAAGGAAGACGGGATTTGGAGACCAGCCTGGGAAGCCAAATCCCCATCCCAGCACCTGAGCAGGGTGCCTAAGTGCTCTGCTTCCTCATCCGTAAAGTGGGGTGGCAAAATAAGCCTCCTCTGCAGTGCTTCCCGGCGTGTACCGCAGGCAGCGCGTGAGGACCCCACACAGACCTGGTACACCCGAGGGCGCAGCACTGGGCGCAGGCGGGCATGTGATGAGCACTCACTGTGTAAATGGATGAACGGGGCTGATTCTGTGCCCCACGCACTCGCTGACCATGGCCTCACAGAGCTGCTCCTTTGCAGCACCTGGGCATTGTGCTGGTCCCCAGCACAGCCTGGGGGAAGGCGTGCCAGCCACGTGCCGTTGCCCTGTGCTGAGGGTCTCTGGCCACAGCGTTACTGATGAGTCAGAACGGTTCCAGCTACAGACCCCATGAAAGTGCAGCACTCTCAAATAGATCCCTTCAACAGGAGAGCTGGGCCCTGGTTTTCCATATTTCCTACTGTCGAGTTCAAATTTTAAAATTTCTGAACTGTTTTATTGAATATTGCATCTCACCATCTATTTATGTATTAAATCATTTTTAGCTACCTGAAAGAATACTAGAAGAGTGTTTATTAAATCACAGAAACACTCAGCTCCTGTTTTAATCCAGGGACTGGGTCAGGCCTGGGGACTCCATGATAAATGAGCCAAGTCTCAGGCCCCAGAGAGTCCCCCAGAGGGAAAACCACTGGCAATTTGAAAATGGCGATCTTGTTTTCGGTCAGGTGTTCCTTCTTTCCTTCCGCTCAACCTGACCAATTATGATACTCTGCTAAGAACAGATACTGCCAATAATTTTATGTGGACATATAGTATTTCTGCTTGCTATTAAACTAAAATAACTAATGAAGGTAACAAGGTAATGCATCCTCAAGGGTTTCAAGGTCTAGTGGAAACAAAAATGAACAAGGCATGGTAACAAGCCTTTGGAGAAACCTGAGAGGTCACGGGTCACCGGCGGGGTGACGGCTGTGGGAGGAGAGACTCAGAACCAGGCCCGGGTTCCACCTGCCTCTGCATTGGCCTCGTCACTGGATCCCCTGTGCTGGCCTTACCAGCCTCATTTTAGGATTCTAGGGGACCCAGAGCAGTGTAGACACCTGCCCTGCAGAAAGTCGTGACCTCCTGTGCAGGGACATAACTGGGACTCCAGCCAAGCTCAAGGGCCAGGCCAGGGCTGCCACATTCGGTCTTCAGTCTGTGTTACCTCTAAAGACATGTTTCAGGTGACCACTTTCTTTGACAAAATCGGATGGTGCATTTATGTTGCTATACATGTATGTGTATATCCACCAGCACAATTATATCCTTCATTACTCACTTATAATCATGTTACTAATATACCACGAAGCCAGTCCATTGAGAATCCTACCCCCCTGCTGCCTGGATGCTTCACAAGGAAAAAAAAAAGGCAATTTGCATCTATAAAAAAGAAATATGATGAAACTTTTTCTTCATAGTGAATAGTTTCTTGATCTCAGTATGAAGCTGGTTTTTATTTTTAGCATGTGCCATAGATGAAAAAGAAAATCTACCAATTGCATCCTTATCTAAGACGGCCTTGCTGGTGAGCTTTCCTGCTATTTTTGTAAAATGTCAGTTGACTTCTTTTTAAATTCTGGTGGTTAAAAATTAATTATGCTATGCTTGACTCAGATTCATAGACATAGACTTTTTGTTTTTTCAAAAACCTCTCAAGAACCCGAAGTGAAGCTTGCCGCCATCCACTCATAAAATATTTGCTGACGCGGATGTACTGAGTGTCCAGGCTGGGTGCAGGGCCCTGGGGGAGGAGGGCAGGGGAAGGTCCCGAGCCCTGCTCTCGGGGAGTCTGGTAGAGCCCGAAGGGCAGAGGACAAGCTACTGCAGTGTCCTGCAATGAGGGCTACGGAAACCCCAGGAAGGACATCACCCTCTCGGCTTTGGTGGTTTGTGGCATCATGAAGTGACAGCTGAGCCGAGGCCTGAACACAGGGGCAGAGCTGGCCAGGGTGATCTGGGGGCTGCAGCAGCAGGAGGTGCAGGGATTCCGTAATGCTGGAGCTTAGGGGCCACTGAGGCCATGCCAGGGCATCTGGACCTCATGCTTGAAACCATGCAGTGTTACATAAACTGTCCAGTATGTGTTGAGAGAGAGAGAGCGAGAGAGAGAGACAGCTGGGAAGCATAACTACACACTGAATCAACACCTATAATTGCATCTTGAGATTCCTTTCAAATGTGCCATGATGCCCCTTTAATACTTGGAAATCTTCAAAAAGCACCTAGCTCTGTTGGCTCTGATCCCTAGACACTGGGCACTTAGGTCCCGGTGAGACTCTGGTGTGACACAGCAGGGCCCTGTCTGCAGCTCCCCACAGCCTTGGGGAAGGTGGAGGCCGTCCTCTGCTGGGCTCCCGTCTGGCTTCTTCACACCTCTGCTTTCCTCCACAAGAGAAGCTAGCATCAGAGTGTAGGTGGAGAAGGGCCCGGGTCTCCTCTGTGTTCAAGACAAGGGCAGCAAGCAAGGCGTGGGATCAGGACCCCAGGCGAGAAGCAATCAGGGGTTCAGGGGTGGCGTGCAGAAATGAGGGCCAGCAGCAGAGAAAACCCGGGGTGAAGTGAACAGGGCTGGACCCTGTGGATGCTGGGAGGAGACGCAGGATGAAGAAGCTCAGTGAGACCCTCAGCCAATTTAGGTGGCTGGTGATGCCATCGATCGAGAAAGGAAGCGGGGCGGGAAGCTGAGTCTCAGGAGGCCACGGAGATTCCCTGCACCTGCACCTAACAGCCTCGGGACGTAGGGCCTGGATCTCAGTATAGAGCGAGGTAAGAGACACACGTCTGAAAACACATCAGTGATGGTTAAAGTCAAGCAAGAGGAAGAGATGACAATCCAAAGAACAGGGAAGCACTGGGTAAGGAGCTCGTTCAAATGTCGCCAGTATTAATTACAGATCGAGAAAGGGAAGCCTGATCAGATTTCAGATTTGAAGGATTAAAATCTGGGTTGCAAAGAAGCAGAGAAGGGAGGAGACTGGGGCGGCAGCCACAGGCCACATGGTGCTGAGGAGCGTGGGGTGGTCATGGAGGAGGGCAGCGGGTGGGGGGTGAGACAGGTCAGAGGAGGGGGCTGCTTCCCTGTTCCTTGTCTGTTTGCTCTTGGAGTGGGGGAGCTTGGGAGGCGAGGGAGGGTGCCTGGGACTCAGGACACCATTGCTCTGCAGTAACCGGAGGAGGTAAAAGGAGGAGGAAGGGCAGGTGGCCAGCTTCAGGCGTTCCCTCCAAGTCCCCTCTGCTTCTGCAGGCAGACTTCGCTGTCCCCCTCACCTCAGGGCCGTTACTCGAAGCCAGTGTTTGCTCTTGGTCTGTGCTGGTAGCGTGGGCTCCTTCCACTGCCAGGAGGGAAACTCCTTCTCAGGTCTAAAGATAGGAAGGAGAGCACAGGCCCATCAGCCCCGTGATGACGACACAGAGTAGGTGAGTATGAATTAATGAGAAGGGTCGTGCCCAGCATCCCCACCTCACTGCCCAGAGGACCCGGGGGCCATCCCTTGTCTTCCTCATCAAGTTCCTCGGCTCCCTGTGGCCTGGGGCTAGAGCGGAGCCCAGAGTGATTCTCCTTGACCTGCATCGCCTCCTGGGATCGGTCTCAGCCATCCCTGTGAGCACCCGAGGGCAGGGACTGTCACCTTTCTCTCTCAGTCCTCTGTGGGATCGGCCCTGTCCTGTCACACACGTGTTGAACTGAACTGAATTGAACTGTCCAGTTCACAGCCGCCTCTGAGATGGCTCAAAGTCTGCATCCGTGACGCTCCCAAGGCCTGAGAGGGGTTACAATTTGGCTTAGAGGTCCCATCTGAGGTATATCACAGGACGGGTCACATTAATCCATGAAATATTTTTCATCTTCAAATGGCATCTGCAGGGTCCTCCTCCAACGCCTCCTGGTGTTCACGCTTCCTGTCAGCACCCTCTCCCAGGCCAGGGTTGTCTGCGTGAGTAGTGAAGATCTACCACTGGCCACTGGCAAGGTGAGGTTGTGGAAGACCGCGCCTCTCGGCATTCCCTCCCTGGCTTATACTCGTGTTCTCCACCCACCCCCCATATATTTATCTATCTCCATCGTCCCTGGGGAAATGCCGCCATCTTTGCAGGACATTCACACAGCCTCACTGAAATGCCCATAGGGTGAGAGACGGTAGCTCTCAGGCCAAAAGCCCGCGGAGAAATGAGACCTTCCTACAAGCACGCGCATGAGCTGGCAGGTGGATCCCCCATCCCCAGTCAAGCTCCGGCTGAGACCACAGTCCCCGTGAACAGCGTGTCTCAACCTTGTTGTAACCCCCAAGCCATAACCCCCCAGCCAGGTTGCCCCTGGGCTCTTGATCCCCAGAAGCTGGGAGATGGAGTTTGTTATTTTAAGCTGCTAAATTTGGGGAGATTTTGACACACAGCAATCGACAGTCTGAAGATAATTCCCAAATGACTGTTAAAAGAACATTTTCAGCAGTGGTCACAGTTAAAGTAACTGCACATTTTCCCAAAGTGACAGGCATTTTTCAAAAATAAGCTTCAGGTTTAAGTCCTAGCACTCAAATAAATCGTCATAAGCCTAATCTTCAGACTGAGCTCATCAGAATATTAGCATGTGTTAAGCACTTTAGTGGGAGACTCTCTGAACTTCATCAGGCTTCTGGAAAATAAATAGGACACAGGTTTAGACAGACCTGTCCAGAGCCTTGTTTGCCATGAGCAGCCTGGATGGAAGTCCTACTCTGGTGGTGTGACCTTGAGCAAGTTAGGATGCACCGCCTTAGCCTGTTCACCTACAAAAAGTGTTAACAGAGCTGCCGCGCGTGGGGTGGGGAACGGGGTGAGCCATTTGTAGGGTAAGCTTCTGCATTTGCCAGCCCGTGCCCTGCGTTACCTCTCATGCCCTCACCCGTGCAAACAGGGGGCATAGCTGGTTTGCAGAGCCATTGCAAAGATTCAGAGGGAAAGCAGGTGCTATGGGAAGGGACCAAGTTAGCTTCACCACTTTTGAGGAGGTGGGTTGTGTCTGGCGAACAGATTATCAGTGTGGACTCCTCAGAGACTGCGCTGGGGTGGCGCAGGAGCATTTCAATTCTTGATAACTTCAAATGAGCTGGTGCCTCCATGTTACCTTTCCAGTGATGTGCCAAGCAGCCTCCTGCATCGCCACTCTTTTCATTTTCAGTTAAAATGTTTTGTATGTTGGTGTCTGACGCCTATGGAGTGGCTTTAGCACAGGCTGCATGGATCAGAAAAGAGTCTGAAGGAAATAAACCACTTACCAAGCGACGGATCATAATATTGCTCATTTCTGGGTTCCTCGGGAATGAGACCTGTAACACAGTAAGAGCCATAAGACGAGGCTCCTCTGCCCACTTCCAGAATGTTCTAGTATTGTGTAAATGATACCACAGAAATGCCTCTTAAACAAAGAAGCTTCAGGAGGTCACCAAAGAATTCTGCACCATTAGCACCGACAGGAAAAAGCATGAGAGACATAAAGATGGCTCCTAAGTCACAGAATACTCGCCAACCCCATTTCAAACTAGAGGCCAGAAGGGAAGACCCTTCTTCCCCCAACCAGACTCAGAGATGTCAGCTCAAGTCTCACAGTGGGGACTACAGAGGTCAACCCCGATCTGTCAGATGTGGGTGAGTCCTGATCCCCCCAGCTACACATCAGTGCCCACCCGGGCCCTGCAACCCAGAGAGTGCACCAGGGGGAACAAGGGTGTTCAAATGACGGCACCCGCATGAGGGGAAATCAGCTTTGGCCTCATCTGTTTGCAGAGATGTGGGGTCACCACATGGACTTAGATATGGAAAAGCTATGAAAAAATACAGAGAAATACCTTCAGGAATAATTGTATTATTATTATTATTACTACTACTACTACTTAGTGACAAGAAAGGAGCAAAGTGAAAAGAAATGCTTATTTTCTGCAGCTAGTGCAATTGATCAAAGGCTGTATCTAGGCGTTTCTACTTTCAAATGACTCACAAAGAAAGGCGATATGCGATTGTTTCAGGGGAAAAAAAAGAACAGTTCTCAACTTACCAAGTAGATAATTGTTTCTCCACCTATAGGACCTCATCATGTCCCCAAAAATCATCTGAAGCAATGTAAGCAATATCAGTAGGTGTCAGCACATGAAAAAGAAAATATATGGTTAAAAAAAATCCTAAATATTATCCAGAGGACTCTGAGCTATAATGTTTTTTAATGCAATGAGAATGCATATTGTATGAAGTGATTCCATGCAACGCCCAACCCCTGTTCAAGAAAGCACGCAAGGAAGAGCAACAGGGTGAAGTCCACACTGACTCCAAAGCCGTCAGTGACTTGGAACATACTTCCAAACGTTGCAGACTAGAAACGGAATTTCGTTTTATCAACTTGCAAACAGACTAAATTTGAATCAGATTCTGGAGTTTTCTTTCTGTGACGGTCCCACAATTTCTTCAGTAGAACAAGGTGTTAGCATCTACAAGTAGCTTTCATGAAACCACTGGACGTCCACACAGGTGTCCAGAAGCCACCTTCCTGCCCGCCTGCTGCCTGCTCCTTCCCCAACAGCCATGGAGTGCCCTGGCCCCACATGGTGGGTGGCCCTGGGCAGGGGCACATGCCAGGACAATTTGGTGGAGGAAGAATGGTCTTTTCAACATTAATGCTGGTACAACTGGAAACAACGAGAAAAAGTCAACGTCACTGGACCCCTCTCCTCACATGACATACAAAAACCAGGTCAAAATAGATCAGACTTCAATGTAAGGCTCACACAGACAACAAAAGAGAAACAATGGACTTAACAGACGGTATCATCAAGAAGGTAAAAAGACACACAAAGTAAGATAAAATATTTGTGAATAACTCAACAAGAATATGATAAACAGCCCAATTAAAACATGGGGAGAAGATCTGAATAGACATTTCTCCAAAGAAGATATACAAATGGCTGATCATTAGTCACCAGGAAAATGAAAATTAAACCATATTGAGATTCTACTTAACACCCACCAGAAGGGCTAAAGTAAGAGACAGTCCATAACAAGTGTTGGCAAGAATATGTAGAAATTAGAACCCTCATGGACCACTTTTAGGGATGTAAAACAGTGCAGTTGCTACCAGAAATAGTTTGGCAGTTCCTCAAAAGTTAATTAAAGAGCTACTATGTGATCCAGCAGTTCAATTCTCAGTAGAGCTAAAGTCACATACCCTCATAAAGATGTGACTTGGCTATTCAGAACATTATACACAATAATTAAAAAGTAGAAACAACCCACATATTGATCAGTTAATGAACAAATAAATATAGCATATCCTACAATGGGAAGTTATTCAACAATAAAAAGAAATAAAGTACCTTTTATTCCTTTGTAAAGGTTACATATGAACATGTTCATACATTCTGCAACATGTATGAACCCTCAAAACATGTTAAGTTAAACCAGTCAGTCACAAAGGGTCATGTATGTTTCCACCTACAGAAAACAGCCAGAATGGAAAGATTCACCCACAAAAATCAGATCAGTGACTGATGATAGGGCTGGGGAATAGTGAGGAATAGAGAATGACTCAGTCCAGGAGTCTCTTTTCAGAGAAATGGAAGTGTTCTGGATTTAGACCGTGCTGGCAGTGCGACAGCCTGTGAATCTCCTGAAAACCACCCAACCCTGCACATTAAAGACATGAATAGTGTGGTACGGGAATCACCTCCCGAGAAAGGTGTTATTTGAGGGTTACATTAGGGCCTGGAGACGTGGCTCCGGCGTGGAGCACCTGCCCGGGTTGTGCAAGGCCCTGGGTTCAATTCTCACCTTCCAAAAGAGAACCATCACATTGCACATGGGAAATAAATTCAATCAATAAATAAACAGTCAATTTATGTGTACAGAGTAGGGGACACGCGACCCACGCCAGGCCAGGGTGAGGGAGGCCAGGAGAGTCCTCCAACCTGAGATAACAGCTGCTCAGGTGGGGAACCTGGAGGCACCCTGTGCTTGCCTCCAGACTCCAGGAGAAAGCCCTTCTGCCTGCGGAGTGAGGTGGGGGTGGAGGGAGGGGAGGAGGAGGAGGAGGGAGGGGAAGGAAAGGGGAAGGAGGGCAGGCGCCTAGGTGAGTCAGTTGTGAGGCCAGCTCCTCCCTCCCTTTCTGGGAATGGGACCCAGGGAATCATCCCTTCCTGGCTTAGCCTATTTCTGTCTTCTTGGATTTGCACTCGTGTTTGAATTTCTCTCTTTTGAAATGGAAAGCAGCAGATCAGTCACTCCTTCCCCGTGCCGAGGGCTGCTGCTGTGACTCTGCCTCGGCCCCTCTCTTCTGGATGGTCGGGGGTCTCTGGGCTAAAGCTCTGCCAAACTCACCCACCCCCCTTCCAAGTCAGAGGCGTGTCTACGGTCAAGCTGGCTTCCAGGAGGCCAGAGAGGAGAAGGAGCACCCACCTGGCAGGGCCCGCAGCGCAGGCCAGATGGCTGCCACCAGGGTGTGGCTGAGTGGGTGCTCCTGTGCCACCTGCGCTACAGACTCCACAAAAAAAAAAAAAAAAAAAAAAGACAGAAACTACCCTCAATTCACAGCCTGTTTGTTAAGGAGAGGAGGAGAGTGTCTACAAATTTAGAAGCTTCTTTTCTCGATTCCTTTCCGGCTACCATTCTTTTTAAAACCAGGGGAAAGGCCAGACTTTTCGTCCTCAGGACGGTTCCTCTTATTACATTCTCCCCAGACACTTTCCCCTTGGTTTCGGTCTTTATCAGTCATCATTTGGGGCTTGGGGCCTCTTTTCCATGGCTTTCCTTTTTCTTGATGTTATGGTCCTCACTCTGGAAATTCTTCTGTATTCTACGTATGTTTTTCAAATGATCTTTACTCTCCGTATTCTGGGGCTTTCTTAGTTAGTTTTATTTCTTCCATTTTTTACCTTTAACAGTGATTTTTCTATTCCGTGACTGAATTCATCCTGGTGGGTGGTCTTTCATGTTTGTAATATCATCAGGTACTTTCACTGAAAGTGGCGGACAGCTATTACCTAACTTTTTTCTCTGTTTTGTGTAAGAAATCTTTCTTTAATACATACATAGGTCAAAACATCACATTGCACCCCATAAATATGTGCAATTATTATTTGTCAATTAAAATAAAAATTTTAAAAGAACTTTATTTCAGAGTTTTCGGGTATTATTTTAAATCTCAATTTTCTTCTTTTCCCTTTATACTACTCCCTTGAATGTGTGGAAATTCTTTTCTTTTTAATTTGCTCATAATTCTTTATGATCCTCTAATATTAAGAGCAAGAAACCCGAGAGTTTATTTTCAAATTCTTCTTGCTGACATAGTTTAACATCAGAATTTAAAACCTGGAATTGGAAGAGAAGAGAATGAGCTCACCACACGGCTAGAAAGTTGGAATAGAGTGGAGAATCGCACAATCAGAATGGACTTTCCCAACCAAAGATGGAAGAGGGGTTAAGCTAGGTGGACGCTTATCAAAGGAACTTCACTTGTGTTAAAGCCATGGAATGAACTAGAATCCATTTCTCCCGGCAATGACTGCTGATCCCAACCCCTGCCAGCATTCCCTCTCCCCTCTGTGCCTACCCCCAGCACTCCATATTACTTTCACCTGGTGCCAATCCATTCTTGATCTGATCCTTTGGTATCCCTTGATCATTAGGAGGAGGCCAGGAATGGTGGACATGACCACTAGCCCCTCCTCCACCTGGCTGGACCCTGAGGTCCCCTCCACTGGCTGCTGTTCCTCTTTATCCCCACCTGTGCCCATCCCCCCTACATTTTGCTAATTCCATTCCTCATGGCTTCTGTCCATTTTAACTCATCAGCTTCCCAGGCACTTTGGGGTACCCCCAAATGATTTATTGTGCTGGGAAGCCCCCGCTCACCCTGGCCCTTTGTTCTGCTTCCACCCACAGACTGACTCTTGGACATAGTTCCTCCGGTTGCCCTGTCTGCCCACCATGCATGGTCTTCCTTCTGTCACCACGTGGTCCCAGATACTTGCCTATAGTCAGCGTAATCCCACATGGTGGACACCTTCCCCAGGTCACTATAAACCTCCACCAGGACCAGCACCTGCCTGCTTCACTCCCCGCCTCCTCCCCCACGTAAGCTACTGTGGGAGACATGCTTTGGTCCTAGTTGCTTCTGGGTGAGCAGGGCCATGTGTGTGACACTGTGAAGACTGACATGAGTTTAACAGTGTACACCAGGAGCCACTTGGCACTTGTCCCCACACCAAGAAAAGATCCTTAAGGTACAAGACAAGCAAGCTCAGAAATGACCTGGGAATTGGCCCTTGGGAAGCTGCCAGCATGCAGGAGTCAGCCCATAAGGTGATGCTCAATTTTATGAATTAAATTTTATTTCCCCTTTGCACCAGGAAGAGCTTCCCACGCAATATGAGTTTCATTGCTTCCTAATTCTAAAATGGACTTCCAGGCAAAATAGTCACAGTGTGGCTAGGTTAATAACATGAGGACATAAACTTTTATGTGTAGTTCCTGAACTTGAGAGGTTTCACACTCTTCTAATGTAATTTGCACTGCAGAATTAAATTTTCAAAAGTTGAATAAAAATAGAAAGGGCTGAGAAATATGTTAGCTGGATACAGTTGTACAATAGTGGAAGAATTTTTGAATACCTATCAAGAATATTATCCTATTTTGAATGAAAACATAGTGTAACCGTGCTGTCTTTACCCTGGTTTGTGGTCAAGTGGCCTCCTCTTCATATTGGATTCTGGACCGAAGTGGTCCTTCCTTCCCAGTTGCATTAACTCAACAAATATTTACTGAGCACCTACTGGGTATCAGACAGTGTCCTAGGCTGATAAAAGCGAACATTCCCTGCCCACAGGAGAGGTACAGCCTAGTAAGAAGAGCAGTCAATAAATAGACAAATAAACATGTAATATAATTTCAAGACAGATTTTTATGTTATTAATTCTATAGTGTTATTTTAAGTCACTTCCAATGCCACTCCCTGACCCTCTACCCTACTCCAGACCCTGAGCTGAGATTGTGTGGCATCAGCTCATTGGTGCCTCTTAGCAGCCCACAGGGTGGACTTGCTCACTGGGATTCACCAGGTCAAGGAGCTGCAGGTGGCCAGGGTGATGTGAAGGTCAGGAGTCTCGGCCTGGACCACGGAGCTAGTGAACAGCTGTGAACACTGGGCAGTCAATGGCCCTCTTCAGCCCACCCGACTACATACCCGTCTAAAACTGAAGAGCTGCCGATCGTCACTTTAAAACCAGGCCCCACATCTCAGGGTGCAGGAGTCCCCGGAGGAGGGGAAAAGCAAGAGGGAGGGACAGTGAGAGAGAATAAAGACAGAGTCTGGGAGACGCAGGAGACACGGAAACAATCCAGCTGCACAGGTGAGCTCCTCCCTCCCAGGCCTGGTGACTCCGCAGCCACCCTGTCAAGCCACTCTGCCCGTCACAGGCCACACAGACCCTCGGAGGCCTGTCTGGAAGGTGACCCGGAGGGGCCTACCTCTTCGCTGCTGTCAGACTCGGACGTGGAGGGCCAGCGGCAGTGAGCCCACGCCTCCTGCGCCTGCAGGCCCGACATCCGCACTGTGCTCCTGCAGGCAGCCGCGGGCTGGAAGAGAGGACGAGGAGTCACACCAGGGCTCCTGCCAGGGCTGGCCTCGGGGCTGCCCGCCCAGCACACCTGGGGCCTTCCCAAAGCCAGCAGGAAGGGAGAGGCTCCGAGGCATTCAGTTCTCCAGAAGGAAAATTCCTAAAGGCCCAAGAGAGACCATGAAAGACTGCACTGTCTCGGGTTTGACATGTGGCCCGTCTCAGGGGACCAGGCCTTCTGTGCTCGAGCGTGAGCGGCTACCTGGCATCGACCCCATTGAACAATCACACACACATTCACCTGCACACACACAAACACACACACACTCCCACACACATTCACACACACTCACATACATCCACCCACACACACATTCACACACACACTCACATACACCCACCCTCACACACATTCACACACACACTCACATACACCCACCCTCACACACCCACACACATTCACACATACTCACACACTCACACACACACACACTCACATACACCCACCCACACACACATTCACACACACTCACATACACCCACCCTCACACACCCATTCACACACACACACACACATTCACAAACACATTCACACACACCCACACACACATTCACAAACACACATTCACACACACACACCCACACACACATTCACAAACACACATTCACACACACGCACATACACCCACCCACCCACACACACCCACACACATTCACACACACTCACACACTCACACACACACCCACACACATTCACACACACACTCACATACACCCACCCACACACATACACACATTCACACGCATTCACACACACACACATACACACCCATTCACACGCTCACACACACATTCACAAACACACATTCACACACTCACATATACCCACCCACACACACATACACATACACACCCATTCACACACACACTCACACACACATTCACACACACATTCACACACACACTCACACCCACCAACACATTCACAAACACACATTCACACACACTCATATACACCCACCCACACACACATTCACAAACACACATTCACACACACTCACATGCACCCACCCACACACACATTCACAAACACACATTCACACACTCACATACACACACACTCACACACCCACACACATTTGCACACGCTCACATACACACATCCACACACTCACATACACCCACCCCCCACACATTCACACACACACTCACATACACCCACCCTCACACACCCACACACATTCACACACACTCATACACACAGTCACAAACACACATTCACACACACACTCACATACACTCCCACATACATTCACACATACACATACACCCACTGTCTCACACCCACACCCACACCCACACATTCACACATGCTCACACACACATTCACACACATGCTCACTCACATGCTTACACACACACTCACACACGCTCACACACACGTGGTGAAGACAGATTTTGTTAGAAAGGAACACTTGGGAGACTCTGGTTGGGTCCTTTCTAACACACAGTCACAGTGAAAGTTTCATGAAATAAACCACAAAGCAGTCAGTCCCCTGAGAGCGCCACAACCTGGAGGAGTCGGGCGTCTAAACACAAACCCTGCAGGAGGCAGCCTCGCTGTTTGGAGGGGATTCCTGCCACGGGGTGGACTGTCGTACCTGCTCTGATCACAGGGGACACATGCCGTGTCCCTGGACTCACAAGCCTGACCTTGCAGGGAGACGCTGTGCACCAGGGTCAACACGAGGTGACGTGACACGTGCCAGGAGCACACGCCGCAGTTTGCATGTTTTGTAGCAGAATTTGAAACACGTCTTGAGTCATACTTCGGTGCTGGCCTCTGTGTATTCGCTTTACATGATAAAAATTCATCCTCATTTTAAAAAGAAGGAAACGGAGGCACCAAGACCCAAAGAATTTTCCAAATCACTCAGGACCACTGACTCCCCAGCTCAGGGGCTCACATCCTCAAACACTGAACACACCGATTGTTCCAAGCAACTCTGTGACCACACAGCAGCGCAGCCAGGTGCCAGGCAGGGGTGGCCAGGCTCATTCTGTGACTGCAAATCAGCCCCAGGTCACGGAAGGAGGAGGCTCTTCTTTACACTGGTTTCTGGGCCGGGGGGCACTTACCATGTAGTGGCCCCTCTGGAAGGCACAGCCAGAGGGATCTGCTCCGGAATCTCTCAAGCACGTAGTTTCCCGAATGCTGAACTCTAAATCCATGATCACGTTGTCCTCATCCAGAACATTGACCTTCATGAAAACAAGGAGTCAGTTTGCAACAGATGTGTTTATGGAGACCACAGGTCCAGACACGATGCTCTCTGCCCAATGAGCAAACATTTAGAGTCACCACCATGAAAGTTATGAACCATCTTAGCATCGGCTAGGCCCCGCCCACATCCTGAAGACCAGAGAGAAAAAGTGATTCACCAAAGTCATAGGATACTTTGCCACTAAGAAAACAAAAAATGCTGTGTCCTCTCCAAGGCAGTGTGGCTTCTGAAAATTTGCTCTGATAGATGATCCCCAATATTCATGGACCCCACTGCTGGGATTCACCCCAGCTGCACTTTATTTATAACTCCAAAATTCACTCTTGCTGTGCTTTTGCAGTCTTCCTGGACCCATGTAGAGCACCAAAAAGTGAGTCTCCCAGTGTGCACGTTCCCAGACCGGGATGCTCTGCTCTCTTCTCCCAGTGTTAATACCGCAAGCAAACGTGCTTTGTGTGGTCTCTTTGGTGTCACGGGTTTTTCATTTTGTTGTTGCATTGTTTGTGATTTTTATGGATCATATTGGCCCCTCAAACCTAGTTCTGAAAGCCATTTAGGATTCCTAAGGGTAAGAGACAGGGATGTGCCCGGTGGGGAAGATACATGCATTTGATGAGCTCCGCACCGGTGGGCATCCTGGCTCTCTTGGCAGTGGGTTCAATGTCAGTGCATCTGCAGTGGATGTTAAACTAGCCGTTCTGAACAGGAGCTCACAAAATCAAGGTAACCTGTTAATGGGTGGATTAAAATGCTACCTGAGTCCTGCAGGAACCCACTCCTGTGCTCCCCCAGGGGCAACGATTCAGGATCTGCAAACTCAGTATTTGTGGAGCTATCAAAAATACCACAAATGATGTGAATCAACCGGACGGATTTTTAAGTGTCGTTTTCCTAAGAGAACACTCCATCATTTCTTAATAATTACTGAAATAAGTAATTAAGCAACAAGTGCATCCCTGCTGTATACAGTGTGGTCCAACCTGGCTCCTGCTTGAGAGGTCCCAACTATGAACAAACACACATGATCTTCTACTTCTTTCTACCAATGACAGGATGCCGGGGCAATCTTCCAAGCTTCCTGGTAAATCTGAGAAGTTCTCATGACACAGAAGCACTGCAGCTCGGAATGTGCCCGGATGCTCAGCACCAGAGGCAGCCCAGCAAGGATGCCCCCCTGCAGCTTAGCTTCCAGAGTGAGCACCACCCGCCGAATGCCTGGGAGGAAACCAGCAGGGTCATTCCAGAGAGGTGCAGCGCTCTGAGATCAGCAGCACAGCAACGGAGCTAGGGGAGGAAGAGCGATGTGAGAGAGAAAGTGCAAGAAAAGTCCAGAATAAGGAAAAGGTAATCCGGGACTTGAGGGATGGGAAGGAGCCCATCCTGGGAGGAAAAGCCAGTTCCCTGGGGCAGGGCCAACCCCGAGGCTGGAGCAACTCGAACGTGGGGAGAAGCATTCGCATGAGCTGGAGAGACCCAGGGATCCCTCGGCTTAGGTCCTGCAGCCCCTGGGAAGGAGCTCAGGTAGAAGAGCCGACGCAGGCTGCTTGCTGTCCACGTTGGTCTCTTCATCCAACAGTTACTTGGCCACCCCTCGGGATTCTCTCCTGAGCCGCCTCTTTATTCTTTCCAGGACCAGGCTGGGGGATTTCCCCATCTTTCTGTTCAGCTTCCAGCTAGATTTCCTTCTCTAAGTCTCCTCTGTCTTTTCTTCCTACCGCAAGTGGACAAAAGAAGCCGTGCGGGTTTTTGGATGCCTTGCTGCTGAGGCATTTCTTCTTAGATTCCCACTCATCACTGTTAAGTTCTGCGTCCCTCTCAGTCCTAGGAAAGGGTCACGATTCAGCCCAGCACTTCGCAGCTAAATCACCAGCTTGGCTTCCAGTACCTTCAGTATCGTCATTTGAGGCTTCGTGAGAATGGCCTTCTCAGTCCATCTGTCTACCAACATTCTGGCTACAACCCCTGGGGTGACCTGAGATCCAGGCTCTCCACGCAGGACAGCCACCCACGAATTCCCCCGAATCCTCCACTCAGCCTTTTCTAACTGCATCTCCAAATTCTCCGCCCGTTCCCCACCTCCAAAGCAGCTTCCACAATGTCAGGCATTTGATACAGCAACAGCTCCCATCTCAGCACCAGTTGCCTGAGTCCATTTCATACCATTATCACAGAATCTCCAAAATCGGGTCATTTACAAAGAATAGAGGTTTCTTTCTTACAGTTTTGGAGGCTTCCAAGTCCGAGATCAAGGGTGTCCCTTGGTGAGGACCTTCTTAGAGCTGCATCATAACGTGGCCAGAGGCATCGCCAGCAAAAGAGCACCCACAGGAGAGGCGGAAGGGACAAAGTCATCCCTTCATCAGGAGCCCAGTCCTGCATCAGCTAGCCAGTCCCTTAATGACACCATCGATCCATCCGTGAGGACAGAGCCCTCCGCCCTGGCATCTTATGAAGGTCCCTGTCCCAACAGCTGCACTGAGGACTCTTTTTTTTAATCCACCCTTTTAAATTATTTATTTATTTTAGTTGAAGACAGTCACAATACTTTTATTGTTTTATTTTATTTTTAATGTGGTGCTGAGGATCAAACCCAGTGCCTCACACAAGGCAAACGCTCTGCCACTGAGCTACACCCTCAGCCCCCTGGTGACGTTTTTGTAACACATGAATTTTGGGGACCACGTTTAAACCCTAGCAAGAGCATTGAAACTTCCTGGTTCTGATTCTCTGGAGAATCCTGAATTAAGTGAATCCCTTATTAACGGACAAAGAGTAATGAACAGAAATAACTGGCTGAGAATAATTTAGAAAACGAAAAATGCAAATAAAAGGCAAAAATGGACCAAAACGAGCCTAGACGCTTTAAGGGTCACGGGCTTCCTGTGGCTTTGCGTCTAAGTGTACCCTGGATGCTCCCACCTGTCCCCTCCTCCATGCTGTCCCAGAATGAGCTGCCATCACCGCTGCTATTGCCTGAGTGTGACCTCCAAATGTGACTCCAAATGCATTTCTTCTCTTGTAGATTGCCCAGTCTCGGGGATTCTGCTGCAGTCTAACAGGAAGCTAACCACTATAATTTGAATGTGTCCTCCAAAATTCATGGTTTGGAAACTTGGTGCCCCATATAGCAGTGTTGGCAGCAGGGACCTTTGGGGAGATAACTGGGTGCTCAGTGGTCTACCCTCCTGCGTGGATTCGTCCCTTCAAACCAACGTAGTGTTTTGGGGGCGGCTTTGTTTTAAGCGTGCCATCTCCGTGTTTGCTCTCTGGCCATGTGATGCCTCCAATGTGACAACGCAGCAGGAAGGCCCTTACCAAACGCTGGGGAGATTTTCGGACTTCTCAGCCTCCAGAATTTTGAGCTGAAAACACCCATTTTCTTTACAAACTACTGACTCAGACATTTTGCTATAATAACAGAAAATGAACTGAGACACAGACTAAGGCACCCGTCTACCTGGGTTCCACCCTAACGTCTCCCCAATCTTCACTTCTTCCCCTGAAGCCCACTCCACATGGCAGCCAGCGAGACGGCGGTGGACTCAATGTTTCCCTCCCACCCAATTTATAGGTGGAGACCCTGGCCCCTTGTGAGCCTTGGAGGGGGAGCATTTGAGGTAAGAAGGTCTTGGGGGGAGCCTCAGGAACGGCGAGTGTTTAGGAGAAGAGGCCAGAGAGGCAGCTTGCTCTCTTTCTGCACGTGAAAATACCAGGAGAAGCCGGCCTTCTGCCACCTGGAAGATGGACCTCCCAGAACCGGCACCGCTCGGATCTAGGACTTCTGGGCTCCAGGACCGTGAGAGGCCGATTTCTTTTGTTCATGTTTCCCCCCATCCGTGGTACTTTGCTATAGTAGCCCCTGCTGCCTGAGAGTGAGATCTACAAATGCAAATGTCTTCTCCACCTGTGGCCCTAACGCCTCAGAATCCAGACCTCATTTCCCAACTCATGTTCACTCTCCGACCTCGCTTCCTTCACATCTTTCCCTCCCTGGCTCACAGGGCTCCAGACTCTCCAGGGCCTTTTGTCCCCCTGGCTCTGCCCAGCACCCTCCAAACCTCCCCTAAACGTCTTCCCGTGGCCTCAACTTCTCATCACTCAGGTGAGTCTCGGGCATGACGGCCTCCATGGAGACCCTCGCCGCTGACTGCTGCCCCAGCCCGGCCACACCCATCAGCCCGGCTGCTGTGTACAGTGGCTGCAGGGAAGAAGTCAAGACAGGAGAGGTGCTGGTGTGGGCCCGGGTAGGCAGTAGGTCAGTCTGTGTCTCAGTCCATTGTCTGTTGCTATAACAAAACGCCCCCCTGCATTCGTGAGGGTGCTGCCTGTTGGACTTCTCCACAGCACCCACCCCTCCCTGCCCCTGGACCCGCCTCTCCTCCCTCCCCAGGAGAATCTGTCCTCTTCATTCCATGTCCCCAACCCAGGGCCTGTGTCCACCTTTCCCTTCTCCACTTGTGTCCACTTAGGGAACAGTCTGGCTGGATCTGATGTCAGAGTTGGAGTGAGGAAGGCGTCACTGCTAAAGTCACGCCCCTCACCCAATGGGGACGGAGAATTGGTCTATTTGGGGTCATCTGTAGGGTGTTTGTGAAAGACATGGTTGACACACACAACATAGAGCAAAACGAGAGGCACTTCCAAGAGGAGACAAGTCTCACCAGGAGAGATCAAAGAAGAGGGTCTTTCTCAAAATGGGAGAGAAAAAATAAGTTTTCAAAGATGGAACGTGGTGTGCGTAGCTTGACCCATGACCATGAGTGATCATTAAAGACTGAGAACAGGCAAGAACAGGCAGACTTCCCAGGGAAGAGCATTGTACCGTGGCAGACAGGGGTCTCTTACTTATGCACCTGCAGGACCCCACACGTCATCCAACAATGCATCTCTAGGTGCAGGTATCTGGGCCAAGGTCCGTGTAGCCACATCAAGATGGCGCATGTGCTGGAATGTGCCTGGGTGACGGCACCTCACACTAGCTCATCTCCGCAGGCCGGATCTCCATGATATTCCTCATCAGTCCTCCTGGGATATGTCCCCATGCTCTGACTCAGTTAATTAACCACCAACTTTGTCCCATAGAGAGCAATAGTTAAATTACAAGTCAATGTAGACTGTTGGTCTTCGAGCTTGGAAGGGGACATGGATTCTACAACACTGCTCGAGGATTGCATGTGGCATTTGGGGCCACGGTAGCAGCAGTGCACTAGGAAGAGGCTGGGTCTGACCCAGCTCTCCTCCTGCAGCTGGACCTTGGTCTCAGAGGCTGACCACGCCTACCTTGCAGGGCCTCCTCAGCACAGCCTCCAGGTCTACATAGTCCCGCCTGACCCTGAAAGCCAGGCCTGGGATAGGCACCACCTACAGCCCACTTAAAGAACCCCCTAAATTAGCTTGAGGGTGTTTCTGTCCCTGCCTCCCCAGAGCCCCATTAAGGTGACAGCCAGGCAGGGAAGCTGCCTGGGGACAGGGAGGAGGGAGGCCACCGAGGCCTTGCTTCTCACTTCCTCTGAAGGAGCATCTAGGGCCTTCCTTGCCTTTCCAGACTCCGTCGTTGGAAACCCCTACAAACTCCTCTCTCACTGAAGTTCTCGGGCTGTTAGAAACAGGATATTGTCAAATTGACAAAGGAAGGTGGATTCTTTTTCCTGCAAGCATCCAGAGCAGATCTGCTGAAGTGGAAAGGAGGCTCACTGCTCAGAAGTGAGCAGCGCTGGGGGCCCAGGATCAGCGAGGACCACGGGCAGCAGGCAGAGAACCGGGCAGGGTCGGAGGGAAGGACGCAGCAGGGTCTGTCCCCAGAGCCACCCCAGGGCCTTGTGACACATTGTAATGAGATCCTTTCTCTGTCCCAAGTAATCAGTGTGAAGGGAGTGACCTTCCTAAACCAGGAGAACAAACCAGAGTCCAACCAGCAAACTGGCAGGACGGAAAGCCCGGAGGTGGGTGGGGGGCACTCACTCTTTTCACGGAGCTTCGGAAGGCGCGGAGCAGGTACGGGCTCAGGGACTGAGCGTTCACTTTGGCCACCGCGGCGCTGAGGGCTTCCCGCAGGGAGGAGGGATCATAGTTGTACACGGGGAAACCTGGACACACAAGCACACGGGCCACCGTGAGAGGGGAAGGCGGCGTGTCCCCAAGAGCAGGTGGCTGTCGAGCTCCCTACCTGAGCAAGGCCAGAGGTCCATCCCCAGGGCCAGCATCACCAGCACCTTCATGGCCAGCGCCATCGTGAGCAGAAGGTCTTAATTCAGAGCCGCGGGGAGACTGTCCCTCTGCAGCTCCAGGGTGACAACCCTTCCTGAGAGCTGTTGTCTTTGTCAAATGTGACCCGACTGCTCCCTCCCACGGGAACGACTGGAACTTAAACAGAAACAATTGATCCTGGGGTCAATGATTGCTGCTGACTTTTCCTTTGGAAAGGATCCAGTTTGGGGTCACTTTTGAAGTTGAGACCTCACCAGGGGACTTTAGCCCACAGCCAAAGACGTGGAGCAGCTCAGGACTCGACGTGTGCATTGAAAGTCCATCAATTAATTAATTAAAATCATGAATAAAATTCCATTCTCTGGGGGAAGGAGATATCACTGCATCTTCAACAAATGGGTTAATTTGGTGGGGGGTGTATTAGGGATTGGACCCAGGGGCACTATGTTGCTGAGCTGGCTTTGAACTTGGGATCCTCCTGCCTCAGCCTCCATTTGCATTTGTAATCCTCCACCAGGATTATAGGCATGTGCCACCGCACCCAGCAAAACAGGTTAATTTTAAAGTGTGACCATCTAATGTTAAAGTGTCATTTTAAAGTGTTCAAGTGTCATTCCCTCTCATGGTGCTTGAGATGTGTATGAAATGATATGGGTACTCTGAGTATTTTTTTTTAATTATGAATATAAGGAGCATCTTATAGGGTCCTAAATATGCTAAGCAAAGTGAAGTGAAGCCTCTACACATCGTGCTGTCGGGCGACCTTCTTTACTGTCGGGCATTTTTGCCTGTTGCCTGGTTGATAAGGTATTAACACTGACGATTCTCATGCGCCATGAGATGCCACCGTGGTTTGTGAATCACTTAAAAGGGAAAGTACTTCATGGGAAATGCAGTGTGTTACAGGTAGGCTGCTGCGTTCTCATTCATAAATGAACACACAAGAAGCTGTGCTGTGTTGTGGCCCAGAAAGACCTGCCCCGGCATCCTGGCTCCCTGCTCACTGCTCTGTGCCCCTGGGCATGGTATTGAACACCTCTGAACCTCAGTCTCCTCCTCTGTCAGATGGGCATAAATGGGTAGATGTCAGGTGTGTATTAGTCAGGGTTCTCCAGAGAAAGAGAAACATGAAGATGGAGGGAGGAAGTGAGAGAGGGGATGCAGTTTAAGGAACCAGCTGGGCAGGCTGGCCAGCCCACAATCTGTAGGCAGCAGGAGGGGAACCAGGAAGTGAAGCAGTTTGGAGCCACAGGCCATCTGCTGTCACAGCCCCTCCTGCTTGGGGAGAACAGGGGGTCATTCTCTTTCCCTTCAGACCTTGGGCTGGTTGGATGAGGTTCACACACAGAGTGGACAGTCCTTCCTTTGCTTTACCCAAAATCTCATCTCATTTTAAAAACACCTTCACAGAAAGGTGGAAAAGAGTTCACCTAATCCCCCCACGCAGCCCCCAACCACATTATGAGCCAGCCCCCTTAAATCAGAGAAAAACTCAGCATTTGGTTTGGGGGGATTGGCTAACTTCACTTAGCTTGATATTCTCCAGCTCTATCCACTCACCTGCAAATGCCATGGTTTTATTCTCTTTAATACTGAGTAATATTCCTCTGTGTCTAGATGCCACGTTTTCTTTACCCACTCATCCACCGAAGGGCATCTGGGTTGGTTCCACAGTTCAGCTACTGTGAATTGTGCTGCTGTAAACATTGAAGCTAGACAGGGCGCAGGGGAGGGAGGGGAAGGGAGGGGAGACGTGGGAGTAGGAAAGATGCGACGGTCATCATGACCCTGGGTACATGTATGAAGACACGAATGGTGTGACTCTACCTTGTACAACCAGAGAAGTGAAAAATTGTGTTCTGTGTGTGTAATATGAATTGTAATGCATTCTGCCGTCACGTACAACAAATTAGAATAAAAATAAATAAAAAATAGCAACTTATGAAAAAAAAATTTAAAACAGGTGGGAAAGTGTTGGATGAGAACAATGTGTACGTCCAGCCAAGTGGTCACCCACTATTAGCCATCACCAAAGGGTTCAGGAAAGAGCCCCGAGAGTATTACTTGGCAAGTTCATTGCTCAGGACGGAGCTGGTGGGAGTTCGGGAGATATTTTTGGCGTCTGTTCTGCTGCAGTCACCGGTGGAGGGAGTATCTCCGGCGACTTCAGAGCTGGCTCACCTGCACTCGAGGCACGCCCAGCCACAGAGGTGCCAACCCGGGCACGCAGAGGGCCAGGAACGAGCTCTCCGAGCCGGGGCCACGGGCCGTTGCCCTTCTCCTGTTGAGCTCAGTGCCCGGGCATCTTTCCTTATGCACCCCTCACACTGGCTCAAAGGAGCCTTCCAAATCCCTGGATGACCTTGGTGTCCAGTGCCATGCGTCCCTCCCAACCTCCACTCCGGCCCCGCAGTTTCTGAGCACCCTCTAGCCTCATCTCGGGCCACCCTTCCTCCCTCACCAGGTTCCGGCTGCCCAGGACATTGCTAGGCCTTGGATCTGGAGGGTCCCCAGAGGCCCATGTGGTAAAGGCCGCGTCCGCAGCCTGCAGCGTCATCGGAAGGGTGGAAGCCTTGCCGAGGTGGGAGGTACTAGTTCACTGGGTGTGTCCTTGAGGCGGGCGGGAGGACCCCAGCCTCTTGCCCTCCCTCTCTCATTTCTCTCCTTGTGAACGGGCACCCGCCGTGCAATGCTGTGCTGCCACTGGACCAAGCAACAAGCCTGAAACCTCTATGACCATGAACCCAAATTAACTTTTCGTCTTTATAATTTGGTTTCCTCGGGTGTCTTGTGACAGGACAGGAGAGCTGGCTAACACAGACACCGAGGACTTCACCCAAGGCCTCTGCATGTGCCATCCCTTCTGACATGTGGCAACTCCCAGGGTCAGCTCCCCACATCAGTCAAGTGGCACCTTAAACAGCACCTCCTCAGAGAGGGTCCTTGATCTGCCGCCTGCCAACACCCCGCTGCCCTCGACCCACGCCGGCCCCTCCCCCCCCTTGCCTGCTTGTTTGCCCCCATCTTTCTCCCCTAATGGACTCCAGGTCCAGGGGCCCGGGACCAGACTGTCTCCCTGTACTGTCCTGAAGCGCCCAGATAGGAATGTCGTGATCTGCTTAGTCTCTCTGAGTCTGTCCCCAAATCTGTCCATTGAGGCTGGCCCCCTTTCTGGGGTGGAACGGGTACACGGGCCAGCATGCCATGAGGGTGGACACCGATGTGTGACTCTGTGACTTTCAACCATCAACATCTTCCAGATTCAACTTATGGCACTGGCTGGCCCAGAACTCCCAGGTGAATAGAAGTAATAAAACTAATTGCAAAGGAGTGGGGGGCGGTGAAGGAGACACAGCAGAACCCCTCAGCAGCACAGGGCTGTGGGTCTGCTGGTCCAGCACTGAGGGTTGCGTTTCTCAGATTCTCTGGGCACCAGGACAGGCACCTATGATTACAAAGGCCTATGCACGGTTCTGTCACAGCCAGCAAACCCAGAAGGTTAAGCACAAGCCCTCCACTGACATGCAGGCCGCGATGATTTCTTCTATTATTCTTTCTCCAATTTGCACAGATGTGTGCAGTGCTGTTCCAGCCACTTTCTGCTGGGCTGACACAAATTATTAAGTAAGGGATTAGAAATTACGCATGATTCTGTGAAGAGTGTTGTCTAGCCTTTGGTTGTGCAGTCCCTGGAAGTTTATATAAATTCTTCACGGGAAGCCACTAGCCAGAGCCACCAGGGACGTGCAGACGAGGCTGCGTGGTGAGCAGCTGGGGCACAGACTGAGGTTCTTCGTGATCAACTCCATCCATCACTTCTCCAGAGGCTGTTTCTTTTCATCTTGGTCGTCTGCATGCTGATTTTATTTGAGAAAAATCACTAAATTTAGAGCAAATGAAAACCAAATTTTGATCCGATGCATACATCACAAATTCCGTAGCTGCATTCCAATTTCCTGGAATGACAGACTCTAAATTCCCAAAGGGCCACCATCAAGACGCACGCTGACGACCTGGAGCCACCCTCTCTGTGCCCTGCCAGAGTCAACTCCGCTGCTGCATTTATTCCGGAGGCGTTCATCTGCAGGGCAGAGCAGGAGTTCTCCAAACGCCACCCTGACCAGCTGCTCCAGTGCCACCCAGGGCTCACTGAGAAGGCACGTCCTCGACCCCCACCCAGCACCCCCAGACCAAAGTGCCAGAGGAGCCTGGTGCTGGGAGTCGGCTCCCGCTGAAGCTCGAGAAGCATGAACGGAGCAGTGGCTGCCAGCCAGGCCCAGCCCCGGGGCATCAGCTGTGTCTGGAGACACCTTCAGTGGTCACTCCTGCAGGACAGGTGCAAGTGGCATGCAGCAGGAGAGCTGGAGGTGCTGCTGGACGGCCCCGCATGCAGGGTCTGCAGTGAATCCTAACGGTGGGCACCCCCAGAATTCCTGGGAGGCTTGCTTTCCTTCCCGAGGAGCTGCAGGGAGGGACCAGAAATCCCTTGGCCAGCCCTGAGGCGCCCACTCTGCCGAGTTCTAGAAGAGCCGGGAGTGGGCAAGATGCTGCTTTTCCAGCCACCTACGCCAGCCCAGCGGTCTTTGCAACCGACTGCAAACAGCCCAAACGGCCAATCAGCCCAGTGGGCCCGCCCTTCAGGACCGGCTTTGTGTGCGTGGCTTTTTATCACTTATCATTAACGCTTTTTCCAGAGTGTTGTCCACTATGGTCCTCAGCACTGAATTGCCCGTGGCTTCACATGTCCTACTCTGCTTTTAAAAGCTAATTGCAGGGGGCTGGGGCTGGGGCTCAGTGGTGGAGTGCTTGCCTAGCACGTGTGAGGCTCTGGGTTCAATCTAAGATATTGTGTCGATCTACAATTAAAACTATTTTTTTTAAAAAAGCTAGTGGCAGGAGTACTTTCTACATGGATGATACCTGCCTCGTTGTCAATTGTGTGCTAAGTGCTGCCCCGCCCCCAATTTTTTACTTTGTTTATTTTTAAAATTTGGGTTTTTGTTGATTTTATTTTACTTTAGGTGTTTTATGTCCTATAAAAGATTTGACCTTGTTTTAAACCCAAATAAACTCAGTTTGGGGTTCTGCCAGTGACATCAGTAGAGGTCCTCCTCCAGCTGGAATCTTACAAGTGAGAACTTGCATGTTGTGCCTTCTC